AGTGCTCTGCACTATCTCACCCACTTGAATGTACTGGAAAAATGTGTCTGGTCTAGAGTACTCCTATGAACTGCGTGTCTGGAGTAGGGCTGAGACAAGGCAGAGGACAGAAAGGAAATGGATAATGTAAGGGAGAGGAAAAGGAAAAATAGAGAGAAGAGCATGGAGAACAAAAGGAAGAAAAAGAGAAATCACAAAGTGTATTTTTAAATGAATATATTTTGTACCATGAAAATATATGTAAAGAAAAATAAGAAAACATTGGGCTTTCTTTTTTTGTTTTATTTTTTTTGTTTTATGCATGTTATGTATTTATTTATATACATAATTTGTTTTTTCGTAGCTTACCAGAAAAATTTTCTTGAACCTCATGGCTTAGCCCTGGGATTAAAAAAATAATAAAAATAATTACAACCAAAAATCAACTCATCAGGTTTGTGAACACCATGTAAGATCATTTAAATGTACTACTTCATATCCCCCAAGACTAGAAAAACATACTTGGAAATACTAAAAGATATGTATAATCCAAGAGTCAAATTACTTACATATACACATTTCGTCCATGTTTCCCTTTCTCTCCCAATTAACCGCCCATAAGCTGATCGCCTACCCTCAGGCCAGTCCTTCAGAGTAAGAAGTGAGCAGCACGTGAGGGAGGTGGGCAACACCTGGAATGCAGGACACTGTGTACCTGTGCTGTGTTCGCTCAGGCCGTGCAAGGTCTAGCTTAACTTTGCATTATTTCATTTTTAATAGCTGATCATTCAGTGACTAAAAACAAATTTATTAAGAATATATAAGCAATGAGACACTGTCTGGGTGTTATGGATATAACAGTTAATAAAAAACAATTCTTTGCAAATAACATATTCTCGGAGAGGAAAATGCAAGAAGTGGTTTTATAAATATTTGCTCTGAATTTCATGGTGTTAATAAGATTATTTGGGATTTTTAAACTTGCATTGTTTGGGTCTTTCCAAAGTAATACTGGTACTCAATCAAGAGCTGCATATATTTTTATTAATTAAATTTGTTCTTTCACAACTTCATACACGTATAAAAATGCATTATTTGCTCTCACACCCACCCTCATTTCTCTCCTCCCCTGGGCTCACTAGAGGATACCCAACGGAAGACACTGGGTCCCCCTCTCGGATTCCGGCAGGATCTTACATTTCAGTAGTAAAGTGTAGGGTCCCACGAGCCCCTCCCAATCTGACTGCTGAGAGGACCTGTCTTGTGCAGGCCTAATGCAAGTCATTACAGCTGTTGTGAGCTTGTGATTACACTGGCTGTGTTGTGCCTAGCGATGGGATTTCACTGTCCTCTCCATGATGTTCCCTGAGCCTTGGTGGGGTGGTATAAATGACTCCTTTAGGGCTGAGCCCTCATCTATCACTTATACTCAGCATCCTGAGCAGCCAGGATTCTTCACATTCACCACCAGTCACTGTAAAGAGAAGCTTCTCTGATTAGGGTTGAGGGTAGCCTTTTTCTAAGGGTGTAAACATGGATATTTAGAAGGAAGTTTGACTTCAGTTAACCAAATATCAGTATTAATTTCTTTCATAGAGCATATGACCTATGGGTTTTGAACCAGGTTTACAGTACCAGGCACGGGATCCCTTCTGTGGACAGGCCATAAACGCAATCAGAGAAGTCAGTTACCTCCATAACAGTCAGGCCGCTACTGTGCATGTGAGCACATCTTGCCTGGAAGGCTGATGTTATAGTTCATAGAGTTCAGGAAGAACCATTTAAGCCTTTTTCTTCCTTGTCTCTGGCACTTTGAAAGATACCAAGCTGGGATGAGGTTTCTAGCTCAAGTCCAGCTTGATTCCTCTATAGCTTTCACTGGATTTTTTTTTTTTAAATGTATGCTGGTGTGAACCCACCACCACCACCACCACCTCACCACACACACATAGGCACACAGACACAGGCACACAGATACACACAGATATACACACAACAGAGTTTCTCCAACCTACACTAATCCGGAGGAATACAAAATGCCTTGACAGCTCTGGGACCCATCTAGCTACAGGCTTTCTTTTGCAGGCTTGAGGCTGATGAGAAGCTAAGACTACTCCCAGGCATTGAAAGAGACTGCTGTCCAAATGTCCAGAGCTCCTCTGTGCTGTTTTCCTAATCCGTGTTTAGATGGAGCTCTCTGGCAGTTAGGGATTCCTTCTTATGAATACCAATTGGGACGGCGTGGGGTGCTTTCTTGTGAGAAACCCCTGCCACCACTGCTTTTAGAGGCAACTCTAGTTACAACTTCAGTTGGAAGGAAAATCAAGATACACTGTTAGCTACAGTATGAACAAAATGAATTACAAAGTACTTGAAAAAATAATAGATGCTGACAGCTTTAAAGAGCTAATGACTTACGTAGATTTTTAATGTGATTACAACTCTCCAGTAAGAGGCAAACAGCTTGTATGGGGCTAAAAATGAGAACTGGGAGCTAGAGGCCAGAGAGACAGCTCAGTGGTTAAGAGTGTGTGCTGCTCTTCCAGAAGACCCAAGTTCAATTTCAAGCACCCATACTGGGAAGCTCACCATCACCTGTAACTCCAGCTCCAGGGGATCAGACGCCTTCTTCTGGCCTCTGGGGGTACCCATGCAACATGTGGCATATACACAGACAAACGCAAATAAAAATAAAACCTTTTCTTTTTGGTCTTTCTGAGACAGGGTCTGTCTGTAGCCCCAGCTGTCCTGGAACTCACGATGTAGACCAGAGTGGCCTTGAACTCACAGAAATCCACCTGCCTCTGCCTCCCAAGTGCTGGGATTAAGGGCGTGTGCAAATAAAATCTTTAAAAAAAAATTTTAAAGTACTAATAATTTGGGCTGGAGAGATGGCTCAGCAGTTAACAACACTGGCTGTTCTTGCAGAAGACCCTGGTTCGAATCCCAGCACCCACATGGCAACAAACAACTGTCTGTAACTCCAGTCCCAGGGGGTCCGACAGCCTCTTCTGTCCTCCACGGGCCCTGCATGACGGGCACACTTACCTACATGCAGGGAATACATGCATACACATAAAAATAATAAAATTAAAAAAAATCTAATAATTTCTAGAAAAAAATTTTAAGAGTTGAAGGTGATTAATTTATTGAATGGGTCTGGGAGAGGGAATAAAGAAAAAAAAAATCAACTCTGACCAAATTCAAAACTAAAGGCACTTCATTAACAAAGCAAAACAGTGAGCAGACTCCTGAAGGTTGAATTTCAGCCTGTATTTTGCTGAACTGACATGCTCTTTTACGAAGCATGCATATTTAAAACACTTTCTGAGGCCAGTAAGATGACTCAGTGGGTAAAGATGCCTTCTGTGCAAGCCTGAAACTCATATAAAGGTGGAAAGAGAGAAGGAACTCCACAAAGTTGTCCTCTGACCTCTGCAACAGTGCTACACACACACACACACACACACACACACACACACACACACACAAATACTACTACTGCTAATTATTATTATTAAAAACAAAATTACTAAGATTATATTACTGTTTGGGGCTTTGTGTGTGTCATATCTACTTCTTTTTTAAAAAATATTTTATTATTAATATTTTTGTGTATGAGTGTTTTGTCTCCTATGTAAGTGCACCTATGTTGTGCAACACCCTTGGAGATCAGAAGAGGGCATCCAATCCTCTGGAAATGGAGTTATGGATAGCTGTTAGCAGCGATGTGGGTGCTGAAAATCAAACCCAGGTCCTCTGCAAGAGCAGCCAGTGCTCTTAACTGCTGAGCCATCTCTAGTCCCCATCATATCTATTTCTAACTAGAAAAATATCAGAGTTGTAAGAGGAGAAAAGAATAAGATACGAGAGTCAACTTCACTATGGGGGACAGATTTACATCTGGTATCTTTGATTCCAGACTTCAGACCTGACTTCCTGCCTCTGATAGATCTATAATCTCCTAGGATGAAGGAGTGAACTGCAAGGCTTATCTTAGGCAGTCAAGAAACAGGCAGCTGAGGGACACAATGCAATCTTACAGTCCAGGCTGCTTGGCTACAGCCTCTAACTTCCTGTGTCAGAGCTGGCAAGGACTCCCAGGCAGGAGTGCTCAGCTCAGGACCAACAAGTCTTCAGGGACTAACTTCAGGGACAAGCACCAGAGACTTAGAAAGGTGGGCAAATATACATTATTGTTGATTCTGGTCATATCTTGTTGCTTACACTTAGAAGAATGAGATCCTACTGCCACTTGCAAGCAATTTTATTAGCCCAAAGAAAAACAACAACTATAAAATGATCAAAAAGAAAAACCAAAATGACAACAGCAGTGAAATATTACAGCCACCCAGACTACAGACCATGCTGTTGCTGTAATGGAAGGAAAGAAGCTGTTCTCATTACTAAAGATGAGGCACTCACCAATATGTATAAGATATGAGTGATCCTTGACAGCTGCTTCTGCTCTCAAAGAGTCATCCTGGAGATCAACGGTTACTGAGTCTAAGCTGATATTCTTAACAGGAAGCAAAATTGGAAAGATTAAAAGTAAGATTCACCCCCACACAATTCAACTTTTAAGCGACCTATGGAAGTTTTCATGAATCCATTTCACAGATCTCCAACTTAGATAGATGTCACCCCGATTCAGTTTTTTTCTTTCTCATTCAATTCAGTTCTTTCCCCTCAAAGAGCATTATCACAATTCCAATCACACACTTGCCTATCTAACATCTAACTTTCCCAGCAGTCTCTAAGTCATAAGCTTAGAGACTTTAAGCATTGCTTGGCATTCATTAGTTGCATAACAACTTTTTAAAAATATTTTATTTATTGTTTTTTATTTTATGTGTATGCATGTATTGCCTGAATGTAGGTAAGTGCACCCATGTGGTACCATGCCCGCAGAGGACAGAAGAGGCTGTTGGATACCCTGGGACTCGAGTTACAGACAGCTGTTAGCTACCATATGGGTGCTGAGATTCGAACCCGGTCTTCTGCAAGAACGACCAGTGTTCTTAACCACTGAGCCATCTCTCCAGCCCCCAACATAACAATATATTTTGAAGAAGCGATATAGCAAAAAATTAGAACACACCCTAGAAGTCAAGGCATTTGTTTTCACTTTAGCTTTTCCACTATGTGATTTTGGGCAAAGTGCATGCCTCCTGATATGAGCCTATTCAAAGAGCATATTGGCAAATTCTTAGAAGTGTTTAATTTCTACAGAGGCTTAATGAAAGGCATTTTGGTACTCACTATTTATACCATGCACTGAATACATTATTCCATTTGGAAATCTTCCCCTTTCCTTAGACATCGGCATTTATACCCCACTGCTGTCACTGAAGGGATAGATCCCAACCTCTCTAGGCACTGCCCTTTTGATTTTAAAAGCAAGACTGTAGGGTGAAGAAACAACCACAAGAGGGAGTGGGAGGTGGCCAGCAGTGTCTCTGATGCTTGCAGCTGTGCTGGGCAGAGGCTGGCCACTCCTCCTCAACGCCCAAATCCTGCATCAAGAGTGAGAGGAGGGCCCTGGCTCAGAGGAGGTTCCGCTTCCACCAAAGTAGTTTGAACTATGAGAATCCCCAGCTGTCAGAAGTTGTCTTTAAATCCACACAGCTCCTAAGTGTGGACCCTCAGCTGGTACTGAGGATGTACTTGAAGATGCTGTGAGTCTGTTTGTTCATCTACCTTTCCAGCTGGACTCCGAGCCATGTGAACACCAAGTCTCTATGGACCCGGCCCATGAGCACACTGCTGCCTTCTAAATCAGTGCCTTATTGCAAAGAGGTGCCACATGAAGACTCGGTGAACGAATGAGCTCCCTGACTTGTTCCAAAGGGGCAGCTGAGTACCATTCATGGTTCAAGTGTATTAAGCCACAGCAGTCTAGCCTTTAAGTCCAGAAAATTTATTCTTATGGTAAAATTAAAAGAAAAGCACATAAATACTTAACAGTCTGTTTTTATTGTTTTATTTTTTCAAAAGCTATACAGCATGGGTGGTAAGAGCATAGTTGCCAGGTAGGAACCAGAACACATAGATTGCAAACACAAGACTGGAAAACTTAACCTTCTCTGTAAAATGAACAGTACTTTCTGTGTCAGAGTTGTGGTGAGAGCATACAATATTTTGAGAAAGCCTAGAATGACTCCTATATTAAACCTTAGCCACTTATGGCTCAGAGACCACTGTGGAAGAGGGGCAGAAAGACTGTAAGAACCAGGGTTGATTCATGAACACAGGGAAGCACTTGTGAGCTTGTGCCAATAGTGGCATTGAGCACAGGACCCATGCCTATTCAATCAGACTAGGGCCCAGAGTGTAGCGAGGGAAATGGGTGGCCGGCTGGGCCTAGACTGAGAACTACTAGAGACTGATTACTACTGGGTGAGGGAGAGTAAGCCTTACATACGATCTCTAGACAGGCTGATTAGAGTCCAGTGGATGAATTTATACTGAAGAACATCTAAGCACAAATGCTTGACTGGATAGGACTTAACATGCATGGTAGAACGCATGAGATCCGGCAGGGGGTTAGGGGAGGCATGGATGGGAGTGCGGGTTTAAATTTGATTAAGAACTGTTGTATGAAATGTATAAAAGCTCAATAAATTTTTTTACAGCCTAGAAAATGACTGTTTATTATTTACTTCTTTTACTCTTGATGTTTAATAGTGGGCTTACCTTTTGTTTAGTGTAGATAACAATGGTAACTGCAGAATCTGTTTGGAACCAATCATAGCTGTAAAATATCAAGAGAGAAGAGAACAAATAGAGAATGATGTGCAACAATGTATCAACTCAATCAGTGCTTAAAATCCACACTGAGAAATGCATTCTTCCAGGTAAAACTATCTTCCAAAGGGTGGTTTTGACGGGCTACAGTCTTCATTATACTGCTGATGTTCACTTCCACATTTAAAGTATCTATAGTTCCACATATCTGAACAAAAATATAAAATATGGACATGACAAAAGTCATAGATTTTCCTACCAAATCGTGTCTTATCAGTGTAATAACAATGCATGTGTGTTAAGGAGCATGAAGACATCTGCACGCTTGTTCCTCACTCTTCTCTATCATGAAAACATTGCCACCAAAGAAATGAATTCTTGGGCTGGGGAGATGGCTCATCTGGTAAAACGCTTGTTACGTAGGAGGGAGGGTTGAGTTCAAATCTACAGGACCCATATAAAGTCGGATGTGGCAGTGAGCATCTGTAATCCCTGTGTTTCTATGACAAAATGGAAAGCCGGGACAGGAGAATCCTGGGAAGTTCAGAGGTCAAAAAGCTTGGCACATGCAGCAGCAACTAACAAACGACAAAGGACCCTGTCTCAAACAAGGTGGAGGGTAAGGATCGGAATCCAAGGCTGTCCTGTGACCTCTCCACATGTCATGGTATGTGCACACCCACACTTAGAACACGACCCCCCCACCTCTTTCTCTCTCCCACTCACACACAGACACATACATTTTTTTTAAAACAAAGCTTGGCACATGCAGCAGCAACTAACAAACGACAAAGGACCCTGTCTCAAACAAGGTGGAGGGTAAGGATCGGAATCCAAGGCTGTCCTGTGACCTCTCCACATGTCATGGTATGTGCACACCCACACTTAGAACACGACCCCCCCACCTCTTTCTCTCTCCCACTCACACACAGACACATACATTTTTTTTAAAACAGAAATTCCTTCTTGAAGGTGAATGTGTCAGTAATAAAAGTTAAGATAAATGTCTCATCATACATGAATCTAGAGGAGGCATCCCCAGTTCCTTAACAAAACTGTCCACACAATGATCTAACATGTAGAGCAGGATGGTGCTGTTAGAGCAACAGCCCAGAGAAGGGGAAAAGGACTAGAGCACACCTGAACCCTGAGCACAACTGAGGGCTAGTAACAAACATGCACGTTTTATTTAACCTGGTGTTAACTGGTTAATAAAATAAAACATTTTAAAGTATTTCCTTTAACATTTATAAAAACAAGCTAGATATATGATAATTGAATAGTGAAATAATAATGACATGGCTATTAAGATGCAGTGCCAAAAATGCTTTCATAGATTAACAACAAAGGAAGCTGGTAGACCAGAACACCAATATTATAAAGGCAGAATAACATGGAAAGGTATTGTGTGAACCAGTAAGCCCAATGTTAGGTCTATCTATCTAAGGCTGATGAGACTACAGCTGTGTCTGCACTTGCTTTTAAATGTATTTTCTAAGTTTTCTACCCTGAATAAATATTTATATAATCAGAAAAAATATTTTAAGATACCATTTTAAAGAGGTGTTTAAAATGGATCGAATTCACATTTATGGACAACGAATTCTGCTGCAGCATCTGATAAATGATGTGAGGCCACTCATGCCAAGCCAGCATGACTGACAGCAGCAAGAAAGCAAGCCCGCAGCTGCTGTTTTTCTTAAAAGTATTTGTGGGGTTCTGTGTGTGCGCATGTGCATGTGCATTTGAGTGTGTGTGTGTGTGAGTGTGTGTGTGTGTGTGTGTACAGAACTGCTTTCACTTCCAAAATGTAAAACAAGAGTGCATACCTTGGGGAACTAGGGCCTTCTCTGGGCAGTGCGTCTGTCACCTGGCTCTTCGGAAGCATGCCTTCACAAAGAAAAACAGTAATTTACACCACACTTAAGATTTTTTTGTCTTTCCAGTTAACTTATTACATACATACATACATAAAAGAACATAAACACTAAATGTGCCGTGAGATGTATTTTCATAAAATGAGATTTTTTTCTCTTTTTTGTGTGTGTGTGTGTGTGTGTGTGTGTGTGTGTGTGTGTGTGTGTGTGTTTGAGGGCCCAGACAGGAAACTTTACTATTCATTGTAAAAATTTTATTGAACTTTGTGTATTTCATACAGAGAATCATCTTTATACCCCTTCCCTTTTGGCACCCTCCCATAGCCCCCCGACTGGAGCCCATACATTCTATTATTCGTTTTAAGGTCTATCATGTAAATTTAGTGTCCTCAGATGTCCCTCAAAGCAAGATCATCAACTGGGATTTAGTCAGCCTAACTAGAGTGCCCCCCCCACCTAACAGTAATAGGCTGCCAATAATTTCTGACTAAGAAATGGCCTGCTGCCCATTTCCACAGTTCTGTGCTAAGTTTTTGTCTGCTTAAGTTTGCATGGGTCTTGTACATGCTGACACCATTACTGTAGGTTTGTATGAGAAGGGTCCCAGGAACCTGTAGAACAATTTCCATATGGTCATGTACCTCCTCCCTGGCTCTTACAATCTTTCCGCCCTAACTTCTGCAATGATCCCTGAGCCCTGGGTGGGTAGATTTTAATACAGGAGTCCTGTCCAAGGACCCACATTCTGCAAACTCTTATTCTGCGTTTTGGCCATTTGTGACCTTTTGTGTTCCTGGCCCTCTGTTGCATGAGGGAGCTTCATTGATGAGAATTGAAAGGTGTATTAGTGGGGCCGGAGAGATGGCTCAGTGGTTAAGAGCACTGACTGCTCTTGCAGAGGACCTGGATTTGATTCCCACTACCCAGCTAACAACCACCTGTAAGTCCAGTTCCAGGGGAACCTAATGCCCTTTTCTGACCTCCCCAGGCATTGCAGAACACAGGTGTACTTACATACATGTAGGCAATACATTCTTACACGCATAAAAGTAATAAATAAAATTAAAAAAAAAAAAAAGCACAGTGAAATGCCAGGCATGATGGTGTTTGTCTTTAGTCCCACCACTCAGGAGGCAGAGGCCTCCTGGATCTCTGTGAGATCGAGGCCATCCTAGTCTACATAGCAAATTTCAGGCCAGCTGGGGCTACATGGAGACCCTATCTCAAAAAGACAAAAACAAACAAAAAACCACGCTGGGTGTGGTTGCACATGTCTTTCTTTAATCCCAGTATTTGGGAGGCAGAGGCAGGAGGATCTTCTGTGAGTTCAAGGCCAGCCTGGTCTACACAGTGAGTTCCAAGCCAGCCCCACTACAGGCAGACCTTGTCTCAGAAAAAAGAA